TAAATTTTTTTTTTGATCTTAAAAATTTTTGTGTTTTTTTTTTTTGTTTTTTTTTTTTTTTTTTTTTTTTGGTTCAGCCCGTTCCACACATTCAGAACACAAACACACCCTTGATGCTTCAGCGTTGCGTTGAGGGGAGATTGGGCCACTGTGTAAAAATTATCAGTGCTTCAACAGCTGGGAGAGAGAACCATGAAACAGCAGGCCGTGGGTCTGCTTTATTGTTTATCTGTTGTTTATGGGCTAGTGTTCAGCTTTAATTACTACACTAAATTAAACTCTAACAGGCACTTAAAGGGAGCCAACTCACACATGCACGTGTGTGCTTCTACACACACACACACACACACATGCGTGGATGCAAACAGACACAAACCGTATATTTTATATACACAGACACGCCTCACGGATCCTTCCAGAGCTGGAGTAAATGCCACTAAAATTCAACAAGACTTCTATCTTGTGTTTTGCAGAGATTTTGGATGAATAATTGAGTCTTTTTTTCTTCTTCTTCTTCTTCTTCTCCCTCTATCAGCATTGCTTGAACATTTTAAGTACCAGGCAGAGCTGCTAAAAGCAAAGTTAAAGCCAAAGGTCCTGAAAATGCAGTATTCAACAAACCACGCTCACGCTGGGACACCAGGAGTCGTGTCCCCGCCAGCAATGACCCCTTCTAGTGAGCTAAACCACAAAGACCTCGCTGAGTGGGGCCCCTAGCCGGGGCTAAGGGGGTTCACCGCACTCCCCACATATACACACACGCAAATGTACCACAACACCATCAAGCGCAGCACGCTCCCTTGGAGCCGAACACTCAAGCTTCTCCCTCCCATTTCTCTCCATCTCCGCCTCTCTCGGTCTCTCTGGGGAGCCTGTCTATCTGCACAGCGTGGGGATTGTTCAATTGCTGAGAAAATGTACAAAATGCTTTCTCCTCTCTTCTGTTGAGCCATTTCCATTTACAGTAGATTCTGGGAATGGTGCAGAAATCCCCTTTGCCAAGCACTCAAGATGTCATTGTGCATTTGGTATTCATGCATAACTAATAATTACAAGTGGGGACGGAAGCAGAGGCATGCAAACTCTTGGACTTAATCGCATGCACATGCGGGGAACTAAGGTGGGAGCAACACCTATCATGCTGAATCGGTGCTGTGGAGGATATATGGAGAGAGATTTGGACAAATTTGTTTGCATCCTTGGTAAGTGTGTAAAAATGATAAAGAATGCATATCTGTCATGTTTTAGTAATATAATTTCATACTTAAAATAAGATAAGAAAAACCTTTATCTGAATCTACTCAATCATTAGGAAACTCGCCAGGGTATTAGACAATTGCTTTTACTGAAATCAGAGATAACTTGTTATGGAAACATTTGTTGTTTTTTTTTTAAATAGATCATAGTTTCTAAGAACTTTTACAATCTATGACTTTGCTTTCATAGGGTTGTGGGACAGAGACCCATTTCTTATTGACAACTGGGCAACGGGCTTGACAAGGACCCGAGTTTGTGATCTGGACGGTAAAGGAGGTAAAATGTCTTCATAACAATCAATAAATGCAATTTACATGCCAACTAGTTATTTTTTTTTTTTTTTTAGGCATGTCAGAAAAAAAAACCCTATTGTGAATGTAATAATTTCGAGTTGTCTAACTGGAACCGTGTGCGCCAGTCAGATTCACCAACCACATGTGTGAAACACAGGATGAATATGTGTTAAAGCACCTTATGCCCACTGTTAAGCATGATAGAGGATGTATGATCCTGTGGGCCTGCGAACAAATGGGATCAAGAACTCTTTGAAATACCAGCACATTTAAGGCAGGAATCTGGTTGCCTTAACCAATAAACTCCATACTGCTGCTCCCTAACACTTTGACAGAAATATCCATGCATGCTTAGGTGCACACATTCATCAAGTTCATTCAAGTCTTTGATGCTTCCAAATAAGATTGGAGGGGCGCCAAAGAGCCGTTAATCAAGGTGCATCTAGAGCCAGAGGCGTTTTGTGTGTTGCCTCTTGAAACATCTCCTCAGATTTATTTGTTCGTCCAAAAGTCTGAAAGTGAAAGGCCACAATAAGTCCCTGGGATCATTGTTCATGGCAGCAAAACTTTAAGTTTTTATTTTTTTATTTTTTTACTCTCTCCTCTTCCTTCAGTGCAGCTCATCCACTCTTTCTTCAACCAACTGATCCACACTGTCACCCCTTTTAAGAGAGGCCAAGCTGTTAAAGACCCCATTACCGAAGTGAAGCGCACATTTCGCGATGTCTTGGTTGGACTCAAGAGCGCGGACTACAAATTTAATGCTGAGACGTATTGAGATTGGTGGCGAGTTCATGCGTGGAGTGGAGTGGAGCAGAGTGGGGAGCGGGAGAGGAGGGGAAGGTGGAGAGGTTGGAGTGGGAAGGCTCTGTCAGAATGGAAGGGCCAGAGTCGAGAGTCAGCGAGCGCTTCAAGCGTTAACGTAATTGCAAGAATGTGAAAAATGAGGCGGCGGGGCTCCCGAGCGAAGCAAAAGGTCAGAGCATGCCTCACACAAAACAACTGGCTAGAGGACGGCCTCATTAGACCATTAAATCAGTTGCCCTTGGTCCCATTCCCGTTTTCTCTGTCTTTTATTTGCTGCGCCTACTTTTCCACCTTTCTTACTCTTTAACTTCTGTTGTGAATTTTTCTGAATCTTTTACTCAGCTCTTAGCTGCATGTGCAGGTTTCTATCATGAAACATCCCAAGGTAGTGGATGCTGCTTTTAGCATGATCTAGCCTTGATCTGTGTCGGCCCAGCACATGGGGCTGTACCGTAACTGTCTTTGGCCGGCATTGATCTGCTGTTACTGGATACGGTGGGGAAGGGAGTCGATAAGTGCTCTGTGGATTACAGGTCACTTGTACTTATGTGTGTAAGATAATCAATAGGCAGTGCATTTCTTTCTCAGAGTCCCTCCCACCCCCACCCTCATCCCACTTTTGGCTGTTCTTCCTCTAGAAAGCCACTTGCTCTTGCAAGGAGGCGTCCGAAAACTTACTTTGTTTTGTATAACGATCAGCTTTTGGACTTTTTTGTTCTCTGATTTTTATTTATAGTTATACGGTACTCCTACCTATTTCACCAAGATAAAGCCACAAATTTAAATGGACTTTATTAGGACATTACGTGGTAGACCAATATAAAGTACTGCATGATTTACAAGTAGGAAAAGGATACATGGTTAAAAATATATAAAGGGAAAGAATAGAGATTTTACATATCTCTATTATTTTATTAAGACCTTAGCTATCGCAGGCTTAATCATTTCCAACTAGACTCTGAGATAAGAATTAGATCCAATTACTATTGACACATCCAACCACAGAGGTCGTCTGTACCCCCAAGTATGTGGTCAGCAATGGTTCAAAAGCTGCAACAGCAACCGTTTCGGGCTGATGACAAACACACCACATGGAACGGAACAGGTCTATCAATACGTGTGATTGTTTATTGATGGAACTAATCCAAAAATTTTCCCTTGATGAAGGAGCTCGTAGAGGTAATCTGGAAGGTTTTTGCAGGTAAAATCATGGAACATCAGTTGGTTTGATGGAAGCGTTGACTTGCAGAGAAAGGACGTGAGAGAAAGAGAGTGAGAGAGAGAGAGACAGAGAGAGAGAGAGAGAGAGAGAGATCCATAATAGCTTACACACTCTTAAAAAAAAATAAGAAAAAAAAAGGAGGGCGCATTCCAAGCAACATGTCAGTGTAGTTGGTCTCGCCTCTAAACTTACCAAAAAGCCTTTTGGTTTTCCAGTTTACATGTCAAAACTGGTACACACCGTGACAAAAATACCAAGAGGGGGACAGCTGTGGCGCATGCTATGTAATTAATTCAAATAGTCTTGTTTTGAAATGCATTATTAGTGTTTGGCATGTCAAGTGGGAGATAACACTGAACACAAGGCACTATGAGACATGATTATGAGCTTTTGTGTGGGCAAAGTTAATATGGTTCACATTCAAGCGGGAACTGGCAGAAATATACTATTAATCACCGGCTTTTATTTAGCTCTTTTAATAGCAAGATTTTGAAAAGCCTGTTCTTAGGTTGGTGCATTAGAGCGACTGTTGCTCAGGTTCGAGCCTGAGCGGAACAGTGGATGAACATGTTTGCTTTCTGGTTTGACTGTGCTCACATGAACAGAGGTGGGAAAAAAAAAAGCAAAGTGTGACAGGAAGCTCCGGGGCTTTGAGAACAAAATGTCCATTTGGTGCATGAGGCTTATTTATATCCTTTGCTGATGTGCAACGTCTCACAAATGTATTCACACCCCTTGTAACTTGAAGGTACAAACTGGTCAAAGCCGATGGGAAGGTGATTTTATGTAGTGGTATCAGAGTAAATGTAAACTGCAATTTAAAGGGGTTTAAGTTCTTGCAAAGGCACTGTATGTGTGTTTATGTTAAAAAAAAATGTAAAAGCTGTAGTAAATACGGTCACCCTTGTCTGTATTTGTGTGACTGCACTTCCATGCCCGTTTCTGTGCTGGCTCACCTTGCTCACTGCTGTTGTCACCGCTCTGTGAAGCGTGTCCCCCGCTGGAGGGCCCCGGTGTGCCAGCTGAGTGTGTGGAGGTGGCGTCATCGTGGTCTCTCCAGGAAGCTGGGTTCTAAAGGGTTTAAAAAAAGAGAGAGAACGTAAGCGTGGGATCCATGCATCCATCCGTGCATCCGACGGCATTCCCGATCCAAGCCACGAACCACACGGCGAGAGAGACGGATGGGAAAAGAGGGAAGGGAAAAAAGGATAGAAATGGATTTTCTGAACATATAAAAAGGGACATCTCTGAGGCGCGGTGAGGGTTCTTAGCATATTATTATTATCTTGGCAAGGTAAAGAGTCTCTATGGTTAGTTCAAAGCCAGCAGAAAAAATCAAAGGAGCTACCATAATCACAGATAAATAGAAAGAAAATGATGTTCTAATGCAGCTGGCTATAAGTCAAAGCGCTGTAATCAAAGTGTTTCATTAAGGCGTGAGAGCAAAACGCAGCACTGCTAATGTGGCAGCTGACATTGAGAGCTGCAAGTAGAGCACTTGTGAATAATCATGTAAACACATATGGCAGAGCCCAGTGGAGTTCATTTATACCATAACCAATTGAGACTTCCGTGTCAAGAGAGAAATATAGAGGTAAAAAGTCCAAACACACCACAGCTGCCATTAATCATTACTACTGTCAGAAATGAAAATAAGATATGACAGTGATTCTCCTGCTAATCTGCCAAAAATGTGTTCACGCCCACACTGACATACACAAACGCCCACAGCGGCTTGCAGAAATACACTTAAGCTCACATGATAATGACATAATAGAAGCCGGAGTACGAACGCGGGTACGTGCACAATCACTTTTAGGTGTACAGGGACTTCAAAGACGTGTCCGTAAACAAATATTCTTCCCTCCTGCCCTTCCTCCTGCCTTTTTTATTTTCTCCCCCTTCTCTTCCTCTCTGTCTCCCGGTCTTTCCCACTGCCCTGTCAGTGCACACGGGGAAACAGGATTTTCTATTGTACAGGAAGGGCTTTATCAGTGCCACACGAAGGCAGGCTAGAGGTGGAATTTCCTCTGCCATTCAGGCAACCGCAGGACGGACTGTCGCGTCACACACAAGCCTGATGAAGCGCCGACCAGCTGATACAGCCTGGCTGCTCACGCTCGCCGTTCCCATTTTAATATGTCACCTGAGCACGGTGACAACATGTTTGCTCTGACGTTATTGGTGGTGGTGGGGGTCGGAGGGGGGACTAGGTTGCTGGGGGTTGGGGAGGGCGAGAGAAGCAAACCCTTGAGCAAAACCCAAGCCAAACAAACACAGGCCTGTACCCAGGCTTCCCACAAACCTCAACCCACTTCTCAGGTCCCGCTATGGGCTTTTTCTTCTTCAAATACACAGAACATTTACACAAAACCTAAGGGAAAATGAATATGCAGAAGAGCATTCCAGGAGAGTTTTACCATTTTGTCCAACTTGAGTCTTTGAGGGTCTTTAAATTCCTTTTCTCTCTTGTCCCACCACCAGAGTCGTCCCCCCTGCCTGCCCGCCGTTGTGCAGGAGTCAGAGTGAGCCGTACTGGAGCAGGACAGACAGGACAGGGCCAGGAGACCAACCGAGGTTTGAAAAGCTGAGCTCCCCTGGGAACAGAGTCCTGATGTGCTGCTGCTTGTTCTGCCGCGGAGGCGAGTCCAACCGCCGGTGCCTGTGAACGGGGCCCTTTTATCTGCTAAGTTTTTAGAGGGAAGGCGGGCTGTTTTCTCAAACAGCTTGGAGCTGAAAACAGCAGACAGAAACACACAAGACCCTTCAGACTCAGGGCTCCACTCGAGGCCTACTCAGCGTCAGCTGTTTGCCGGATGGCAATCAGATGAAGAGCTTGGAGAATTACTCAGAAGAGGGGTGAGAAGACAGGGCGAACAATGAACCATGCGTCGGTTTTAACCCTGAGGAGTGAGCCCAGAGTGTCCCTGTCTCTGCTCTGATTGTGATGCATTCGCTCCCGGGGCCGCTGATCAACACATGGCAGCCGGAGCGGTTGTTGAAGTAATTTTTTTTTTTTCTTTTTGCTCTCAACACTGTGTATGCTAAATAAAATCGCTAATGTGGGAAAAGCCCATCAATCCCCTTGTCTTTGTCAAATGCAACCCGAAAGCAAGGAAGAAAGACTGATGAAAATCCCCGGCTCCCTGAGTGCATTATGTATTTAAGCGGAGTTCGGCTGTGTGCTCTCAGGAAGAGCCGTTGTTGTGTTAATAGAAGAAAATGACTGGGTTGTACTTCCTCACAGTGATGGCGAGGCAGAGGACAGAGCTGAAGATCTACGCTGGCTTACTTATTCCATCTGAGCCTCTCCAGCCACAGCATGGTTTTAATGCAACGGCCAAATCGATAGGACTTAATTTAGCTATCATTGCAGAGTAATGTGTCATTTTTAATGGTGCTGGCACTAAATTAAATTCAAAGACACCTCGGCTAATGGCATAAAAGGGAATGATATTTTGCTGTGATTTGCTACCCCAAGGATTTAATGTGCCTGTATGCTGAGATATAGATGGAAATTTGTTAGCTTCCCTCTTAAAGACTAAAGTGAGGACTGCAGCACTTTCAGACCTAGTAAAAATAATACAGAGGATACTTTGGACTAGATCACACACACCTTCTATTGTATTTCAAGGGGCAGTTTGTCATTTTTAATTGAGTTAAGTTACGTGTGTAGTTTAGATTGGCCCTGGTGGCTAAAGCTAATAGCTAATAGGTAAAGCCCAAGACTCACAAGAATTTCAACTGCCTTAGACAACTCCAGTCTCAAAAAACTTTATAATCAGTGTATCTAAGCTCTGTTTTTATGGCCCTTCAGATGTAATTTATTAATCAGCAGAAGGTTATTTATTATTTGTTTTGGTCAGGGGTTATAATTTTACAAGAGTTGACTGGTTTAAACGGGAATCAGAATCAAGGTGTAACATATAATCTTCAGAGAATAAAATACAAAATAAACTAAATTATGATTGACATTAAAGCATTTTATTGCTCGTTATTCAGATAATTAATTTAAACACTTAACTACCCAGACAAACTGGTATGCTGACGTTTAAGCACATTACAAAGTGGTTTATTTGTGATTATGAAATTATGAAGCAATAAAATGGCAATCCTACAAATGGAATGAGGTTCCAAATTGTAAGAAAGTGAAATCTGCTGGATCTTAAATCATTGTAGACGTTGCATTGAAGAGTTTATGTTTTTATGTATTTTTATTTGTTTTTACAAAGTAAATCAAGGTGGCAGGCAGTGAATTTCCAAAGTGTTTCCTGTCTCAAACCCATACAGGTAAAATAAGTTTCTCAGCTCTGAGTAATCGTCTCACATAAAAGTAAAGCAGTGTAAGAATCCAACAATTACCATTGTTAAATTACTGATAATTAGGTGATATTTTCATACATTGCTTTACTTTCATATTGGAGTGTTACTCTGCCTGAAAACGATTTAAATGTTCCGTTCTCAAAATGCGTTCCACACGGGAAGAATCTTGGCGATACACCATCTCCGACCTCCATTTCCTGTGTAAATTTTAATTGAGCTCTGTGTAAAAACTTGCCCAATGCAAATGTAATGTGGCTTAAAGGTTCATAAAACCTTGTTGTGATAAACCACTCTAAAATCTAATGAAGACACCAAGAGCCTCATCAACAATTTTCTGTCTCTCAAGACATTGACATATTACACCAGAGGTTAGTATGTATTTATATCCGTAATACATACTACTGAGTACGGTTTGTTTATGGGCACCAAACGGTGGTATAAAGGGACGAAATGGCAACATGTGGGTACGAACTGACTTGGAGCCTCCGCTTCATGTCAGATTACAGGGCCTGCTGTGACTAAGGCGATCTGCCCCAGAGCAGTGGCTGTGAAAACCAGGTGGATTTTGGTGCAGGTTCGATATTATCTGCTCCTTGCCTTTTACCAGTACTGAACTATCCCTTCAATGCCTGTAATTCAACCTCTGCCCACGATCTTTGTGAGCAAAACAAGACCACAAATATCAAAACAAGCATGTTTTAACTTTCCACGTTACACGAGGTAACAAAAGCAACAGCCTCTCCTCCCCATGAATAATTTAGAGGGCCTCCGCGAGCTGCAGCGGGTGCATCATCAGACGGCGCACAACACAAACACACACAACCATTTTGTCACAGGCCCCGTGGGTCTGGTAAAGTTCAAACAAGTTGCAAGGAGAAAAAAAAAAAAAAAAAAGAGAGAGATTGTGTCACCCAAATAATCTTCAACCTACACCAAAAAACAGAGGAAGCAGCAAATGCTTCCAGCCCATGTGACTATTCCCTGAAGCTGAGCATAATTAGGAGTCAAACATGGTTCACTCTATGCTCTTCACTAATTGTGTTAAAGAGCAGCGTTACTGGGAGGAGGAGGTGGAAGAAGAGGAGGAGGAGAATCCTGGCTAGCAAGTACAGATACACACACAGGCTAGTACACACACAAATACACAACAGGACTAGATAGAGAGTAAGATACAAAAGAAGCATGGTCTCTAGAGACAAGCTTTTGCTGGTCTTTGCAACTGGCGGCTGATAATACAAGTTGTAATTAATATAAAAGCAGGAGACAATATGGGAAGAGAGGCTGGCAGTGCAGCGGGGCCACAGGAGAGCAGGGAGAAGCTTGCTGCTGTCCCATGTTTCTCATTTACAAACACCTGCCTGGCACAATTTTACTGTCCCCCCACCGCGCTCTGCCTACATCCCTAGGAATTTCAAATAAAATTGATTTAGCAGCATCATTGAATTTCACTTAAATTCCCTGGAAACCCAGAGAGGAGAGAGAGCAACATCTCTTTGTGCTGTGTTTGTTGGCGTGTGTGAATGCTGAGAGTGACAACCGCTGTGTGTGCTCTGCAGCTACATGGGTGTACATGCACAGAACAGCTAGCACACAGGGATGTAGATCACACAGAGGCTTGACGTCTCAAGATGCACATTAACGTAAAGAGAGAAAGAAACAAAATTGGCTTTCACGTTTTTTTTTTTTTTTGTTTTTTTTTACTTGCTTTTTTTGGATTAGGTTCATAATTGTGTGCAGCACTTTACAAAAATATGAAGTACCTCTGCTAGGTGTTTTACAGAACCCCGGTTATTGAGGAAAGAGTCCTTAATTTAGCAGCTAATAAATCACAACTGTATGTTATAAGCAGACAGGAGGAATTAATTTATTCCTGACAACTTTCTTTTAGCCGGAATGCAGGAGCCACAATATGCAACCATGTTTATCTTTAGAAGAAAAAAAAAGGTTTTGAAACGTGACTCATGAACTGGCAAAAACGTGAATGTAATTTCCAAATAAGAATAGACGTATAAATGTCAGAATAATACTGACATTTCCATTTCATTGCTTGTGTTTATTAGTTCCAGCAAATAAGTCATGAACATAGATTTTTTAACACTATCATTAGCCGCATATCATGTCATTTAATCCAAGCTGATTCCAGAAGTGTCACGATATTAAAATGCAGGCTGTAAAATGGTTTATTGCATTCATTTTTGCTGCAGAGAATAAGTGGAGTGTGGGAGATGCAACAGGTGAGGATGATTAGCTATGGTTTACAACGAGCATCTGCGTCTGAACCGTGACCAAAAGTGAAATTCAAGGCCACAAAAATTAAGAAATCACTCCACAAAGGGCTTAAGTAAACAACGCGCTGAGCTTCAGGGCGCCGCGATGTGCGGAAACAGACCAGACCGCAGCACCTATCTCCACTGAAAGGGCTCAAAATGAACTATTGCATTTGCTTTCTAACTTTACAGCTCAGCACCCCGAACCTGCACCGGGGAATCCAAACAGAAACGGTTTGTTTTCCTTTCTCCCATGCCTGCCATGCACTGCTGAGATAAGCTGCACTATAACTATGGGAACAAGTAAAACTCCCCGAGGAAAGCTCTACAAAACAAAACGCCGGGGCCGGCAAATCACGCAGGATATTTTATGAAGCAAATTTTAAACTGTGCGGAAACTCATTCATTTCAGTCTGCAAGTAAAAGGGGAAAAAAGAGAGCTGCATGCTAATACAAAGACACAATGGCACAAGAAGACATAAAGACTAATTCATTAGAGCAGATAATACTCAGAGACTGTTAATTGTATTTGTCACCCTAATTGGATGTAGCACAGAGAAAAAAAAGAAAAGAAATTTTGTTCATTAATTATACAGACATGAAAGTGCACACACTGGCCATATACAGATCCTACACCGCTCTGTTTTTTTCTTCTTCTTCTTCTTATCAGTCTTTGTGTGTAATCCAGCATCTTTTTTTCTTTCCCTAAATGGGATGGAGTGGATATGAGGAGGGGCAATGAGTTTGGAAGCCCTGGGTGGGCTTACATATCTGAGATAGCCACAGCCGGGCGAGTAAGGGAAATCAACAGTGTCAGCAAGGCCTCATCCTGTTCTCACTATACTATAATCCAATCATCTGCAAGACAGTGCTGCATTCAAGTGTAAATAAAAGTGTGCTTATTATTCTCCACCGTCAGGTATAAGGAGGGGGAGGCAGAACGATGGGCAAGGAGACACACGGCAAAGAGCTTCATCATCTAGAGAAAAACCAACTTTCTTTTCCAAATGAGACGTAGCCCGGGGCTGTATATTAAAAATGCATATCAAAGCAAAGAGAGAGGAAAAAATGGACGTGAGAGATTCTAACTAAATAAATTAGCATATCTAACTATCAAACCAGCTTCCTCTCCTCAGTGAGACAAGGACAGAAATTAATAATAAATCAGAGCGAGAGTGAATAAATAGAAGGGGGGGGGGGGACTCGTAAGTTGTGGATGGGGCTTCATCTGATGATAGAAATAGCCACTATTGTGCTCCTTCATACAATCTATTGTGCAATATTTATCTCTAAAACAATAACGTATATAGCCTAATAAAATCAATGTTACAACTCAGGAAAGAGACTGTACTGCAAATCTATCAGTTTCTTTGAAATCACTACATGTAGGTGAATATTTCTGTTTTATTCTACGAGCTATTGATAACTTCTATCCCAATTTTCTAATTTCTAGTTTTCTAATGAAAACATCGTCACTGTGAGCATTTGCTTGCAGACAATGACAAAGTTGCAGTTTACAAAACTAAAAAAAAAAATAAGAAAAAAACTAAAGGAAAAAAACTAAAGAAAAAAAAACAGAAAAAAGAAAATTCCCAGTTCATGTTCATTTTAAATAACACAATACTACTGTTTGACTTGGGAGGAGTTGGAAGTAAATATTTGACGGAATAACCATGAGTTTTAATTACAACATGTCTCATGATTATCCAGTCAGTACCTCAATAGCATTGGAATTCACTGCACTGATATGATACTTTCATACATAAGGAAAGTCTGATTTAATAAACAAATATATATATATATATATATATATATATATATATATATAAAAGTGATCTCTGCAACCATGAAGGCAAACAAGGAACAAATTCACACACACACACACCCACGCGCGCGCACACACACACACACACACACACACACACACAACCCCTCTTCTGCTTTGGTGAAATTCAGCCCAGCAGTTAAGGTGCAATAAAAAGTTCAGTGGTGCCACAGAAGTGAAATAAATCCCTCAAACCTTAAATGCCTAATGAGGTGGTCAGTCCAAACGACTCCCAGATAAATAGCCTGTCATGCAACCTGCTTTGTTTATTGCTGCTCTTTATTTGCTTTATTGACACATTTCATTTTCTAATTATCAGAAATATTCATCGCGCGTGGAGCCATGCAGAGCTGGTGTCTGAGGATCCATCGGAAATTGGCTTGAGTATCCAACCATCTGCCATGAAACTAAACAGGCCAGTTTATCTAATCTCTACAATATAAACAACAGCATGCCTCATTTCTGCACTTGTGTTTGAGGATCACAGTGTTGTAGTTTTTTCTTCCTCTTCTTCTTCTTTCCTTCTCAGATTTTCCTCCGGGTTCTCAGCCCTAAATAAAGCTCACCTGGTTGCATACTTGCAGCGGCGCTACATAAGCGACGGGATAATTGCTATTAGGCCTATAGCCAGACTAAACAGATGCAGCGCACAGACTTTGCATAACACTTAAATCTGCTTTAATTCCTAATAGGCTTGGCCTTGCGCAGCACAGATATTTAACCAGCCACTTTGTTACTCAAGCAGCTCATTTTTACTTCCACGAAAAAAAAAGAAAAAAAAGAAGAAAAAAAAACATTAGGTTTTATCACAGGCGAGCACAGATCCTTCAGTGTCAGCCCAGTCCATACTGGGCAGGGAGAGTGGAAGCGGATAGTGTGTGTGTGTGTTTATTACACCGAAAATGCGCGATTTAAACTGGAGGATCGATCTTCAAATTTAAAGCTACTGTACTTCAGGTGCATATAATTGAATTCAACCTTATGCAGCCTGCGGCCATAAAGCAGCAGCAGCAGCAGCAGCAGAGGAGAAAGCAACAGCAGAGCAAAAGAGAGAGAAAAAAAAACGCACGGCAAATCAATACGAAACAATTAAACACATTAACATCAACAGCAATAGGAGGATCCTCCAGACGGATCATCATACGCCTTGTGAACTTGACATTGATGGTAAGCCTTTAGCTCTGAGATGTCTCTCAGTAGGTTCCCACTTTCTCCACCTCTGCTCCAAAAATCCACAGATTTGCGCGCACAGCCCCCCAAATATAAAGCTCTTCTTTCTTTTTTAAATATTGACCTAAAGCTGAAGCTTACAGCGCTGATACCCTGCTTTAGCTATAAACCTGCGCAACTAATAATTGCCCTCTTCTCCCCCTCCTTTCCGTTCAGCGTGCGTTGCTCCATAAATGCGCGTTTTTCTACGCACCCACTCGAACCTCCAGCAACACAAGCGCACAGGGACGCATCATGCACACATGACTGCTCCTAATCAAAAGACTAAAACAATAACTCAGTCTATTGTATCACATGTAGCTTTTGACCTCACAACATCGATTTCCCCCCCTCCTCCCCCCTCTCTCTTTTACTTGCAGAACAGAGCGCGCTTTATTTACAGACAGGGGTCACACAACTGCAGCGCCAAAGAGGCTGCTTTTATGAATCATATCAATCAAGTTATTATTTTTTATTTTTTTAATTTTTTTTTTAGCAAAAACTGATAATTTGCCATAATGCATTCAAAGTAGTACTCCCAGTCAACAGCAGAGACGTCACGTAAAACGCAGAAAAAGTTGGATTACTTACGTGATCTGCGAGATTAGTCGACGATCCCGAAAGTTCTTCATGATCTGACTTCGAGCTGCCATCCCGCTCATCAATCACTAGATCTATTGGCATTTTTCCTTTCAAACAGCTGATGTACCGGTGGCAAAAATTGTCGCACAGCTCATGCACCTATAGAGTAATAAAAAACAAAATATAAGGAAGGGAGGGAACAAAAACAACAACAACACAACATGATTCAGGATGAGGATGGAAAAGCAGTCAGTCCAAGAATAACTCAAATTAAGGTGTATTATCGGCGGCGAGGAAACAATAGTCAAATTGTTGCCGCGGTTATTATTATTCTCCCGAGACCCGAGCAACAAGTTGAACGGACAAAAGGGGGGAGAAAAAATAAACAGTGCGCCTGTAACGAGCGGCTGAAACTGAATCTGCGGATCAATAGCAGTGCGCAACGTGGGCAAAGAGCCCCTGACATTTTTCATCAATAGTTCCTCCAGCTGCGTCAATAATTGGTTAAATAAAACATCTTATGGTGTAAAAATAATAATAATAATAATAATAATAATAATAATAATAACAATAATAATAATAATAATAATAATAATAATAATAATAATAATAATAATAATAATAATCCTAAAACTCTCATTGTCCTGGCTTTCGGTTTCTGTTTTATCTGGAACAATTTAAACATTGCATGAGCATTTGCTGAAGATCTGATCGTGAGGTTATTGATATAAGGTACCTTTTCTAGCTCCAAGAGGTGAAACCGTAATACTTGTATGGCTTGTATCATCTGGAACAGAAAGCAAAACAGGCACAATTAGAACGGGAAAAGGTCTGAATTATATTTTCTTGTCATAAGGGCATTGTGTAAAAAATAAAATAAAATAATCGCAGTTTCTGCAATGGAAAAGGGAAAGCAAGTTGCTTGTCAAACGTTATCACTTACTGGTCAAATGGGTTCGGTATAGGAATATAATGCGGATCTGGTATCTGCGCTCAAGTTCAAATAATGCGCACATTCTTTTTTTTTTTTTTTTAACCCAGAAAGGCACACTTACCAAATTATCCAACTCTGGATTTGATGAAAATAAAGGCTTTTCTGCTCGGACCTAAAATAAAGCAAAGATCGAAAATATATGTATTTTAATTTCTGATTCTTATCTGAAATCCTTTTTTTTTTCAGAAATCAAACTTGTGAGAAACGTCGAGAAAGTTTTGTTCACAGCAAGTAAATATGTATGGTTATACCAGAAACATGGTGCGTCAGAACCTAGCCAATGTTGTGTTTTATTTTTAGTTTATTGTCTTTTTTTTTTTTCAAGCTGAAGAATGGACCTGTTTGGCAAAGACTGCGATGTCCTCGTTGAAGGAGTCTGAGGAGCAGACGTCGCCTCCCGCAACGCCGGGCTCCCTCGGAGTACACGTCGCCAACTCGCACTTCTCGAAAACCAGTGCGAGCAGTGGGAATAAAGGGTGACTGCAGAGAGGAGGGGGAGAAAATACAAGCAGCCTGAGTGTATACGAGCAGCACTGCAGCGGCTGCACGGAACCCCGCTGCAAAAAATGCCCCAGCGAACCTGCATGATTCTAAAATCCTCACATTTCAAGATGCAGCTAAAGAAGGAAATAAAAAAAATAGCAGCTCACGCTGCATATGCGAAAACCTCTCTTGTTTTTTTTTTGTTTTTTGTTTTTTTTTTAATTATTATTATTATTTTAATTATTTAATTTATACTCCTCATTAACTAAGCGGCTGTGTGTGTTCGGGGCAAGTCAGCTTACCCGTGGCTATGCTTTAATATCATTTTATGCATTTAGAAATAAAAGTAACTGTGGAATATTTTTCTTCTTCTTCTTCTACGGAGTTCAATATAATAATCGAGTGATTGACAGTAACATTTCTTGCAGCGTGAAGCCACTAAACTCCAAACTCACAGAGTGATAGATGTCTTTGGAATTAATGAAAAAATATATATGTGTATATCCACATTACTGATACCATTCTGCAATTAGCCTCGCTATAAACCGAGTCTTGTAATTTCCTTCCGAGGAGGCCTGCAGCGATGATTCATACAAATAATAACATAGTCCATAAAAAAATAAGCATGTTTTTAAATGTAAATTATACTTTCAGAAAATAGAATATTACTGTTTTAACAATTGATCTCGAGATATTTAAATCAAAAAATGACTTACTGCCCAAGTTTTTCATTTGCAGCAAAGCAAAAGTGGGTGTAAACTGTTCCTGCACATTGAATAACCGTGAGAATAAAAGAGATTAGGTCCGTGGATTATAACACTGGCTGTGTAAGTATCAGTGATCAGTGGCTGTAATCATATTTTTTATCTTTAATTGTTTGAAAATAATCTTAGAAAAGTAGCCTCCGGAGGACACACGGTGCGTTTTAACGCAGTCTGAGTGTGTGTGTGTGTGTGTGTGTGTGTGTGTGTGTGTGTGTGTGTGTGTGTGTGTGAGAGAGAGAGTGTGTGTGTGTGTACGACAGTAAAACTGTTTTATTTTATTTTTTTTTTAAGTCAGCTAAACTAAAGCGTTAAAAATGCATATTATCATTTTGCATTTGATATATGATTGTTGGCAGTAATAATAAAGCAACAATGTAATCAGCTTAAAATAGTTTTTATGTATTCCTTGTGCCACATTTGAGAGCTTCCATATTAATTTACAAGCTCAGGGCTGATACTCTTGCTTGCTTCAGGCTTTTACAATGAGTGTAAAATTACACACCAACAAAACTCCCCTAAAACCGACAACGTAGCTCCAAATTAAGCTCCAACCTGCACAAAGCTTCACTAAAACCAAGCGATGGGAAATAAACTCTAAAATTCACCCAGAGCTGTTAACTTTTTAAAAAAGAGAGCGAGAGAGAGAGAGACACAGAGAGAGAAGTATTTAGTTGCATGTCTAAATCATGCAAAGCTTACCCGTAAATTTGATCTTTGTCTCTCTTTAAAACGTCGTTGACAGCGGAGCCCATGCTGGTGGGCATAACGTTAGGGTGGGGAGCGTGGGCTCCGTAGTGCTGGCTGGCGTGGAGCGGCGGTCCGTGGTTCAGGTGGTGGACCTGGGGAAGCGGCCGGGGCGCATGCGGGTCCCCGTACATGGACGCCGGGACTCCGTCCATCCCACCATAATGGGCCAGCTCATCGTACTGGGAATGAAATTGAAGTTAAAAAAATAAAAAATAAAACCGAGGACATATTTATATTCTATTATGTATTATTTTAAAAAAAGAAAGAAAAAACATATACGAAAAGTATTTCTCTAAATGAAGCATGTTTGTCTCTGGTTTTAAACAATCGCAATGAAGAGACTTAAAGCACGCTGCAGCCAGCGCAAAGTTGTCGAATATTAAGGAGCCGCAACTCAATTTTATCATTACCAGAAACATTATAAAGTTAGGTTGCTCCCTCTGCGCAAAAACAGCGAAACAGTTCGGAGTCTCCCGTGAAACTGCTTCGTGGAGCCTTGTCGGGAAAAGTGGAGGCTGTCACTTCGCGTGGAGAGTGAAAGCGCAGCAGAAAATGTCAAATAGAGCCGCTTTGATAAGAAAACTTTGTGAAATTGCCAGCGCCCCCGACTTACAAAAGGGGGTTGCGATCTGAGCAGGTAACGCGGAGTGAGATTTAAAACCTACCCTTTGCGCCATCAGGCTGCGCTCCAATAAACTCCCGAATCTGTCCGTATACGTTTAATATCCCAGATCGGAAAGTGATTTAGTGGCAAGATTCCCCTCTTTCAACCAACTTTTTGTGCGAATTCTCCTATTCGCCACTGTGGTTCAGTTCAAACCGTCGCATCGGGAAGTTTTTGCAGCAATTTTTTTTTCTTGTTTTCCTTCTTTCCTCGAAAAAAAGAAAAAGAAAAGAAAAAAATGCGCCAAAGTGAAGGTTACAATCGGCCCATCAACAACCTGCATGTAACTAAACTGTCGTGTCTCATGGCTTTTTGCCACTCCAGCTGTCAATCAAAGCCAGAGGTTGTCAAGGTAATGAATGAATGACGGTTGGTGATGATGTTCAAGAGCAGGACGAATCTTTTTTAGTCCGTTTTCATCCCGCAAGTCCGCGTCTCCTTTAATGCCTCCAGATCGCTATCTTGTTTTATTATCAGCGCAAAAAAAGAAGAAGAAAAAGAAGAAGAAGTAGAAGAGGGGGAAAAAAAGGTGTAGAAATTAAGAGAGTGCGATTCGGATCTCTCCTTTTCTTTTCCCCCGTAGGTATTTCGTCTATCTTGGCGAGACTGAGATGAGTGAGTGTCAGCGAGTGTTGGCAGGTTGGCTGCTGGCTTGCTTATAGAAACAGAGTCAGTTCGCAGCGCTGAGCGGTGGGCGAATGAAATGACGGATCCCGGAAGTAGCGGTGGCCATAGCCAGTCCTGCAGCAGCTCCGCACAAGAGAGAGGAGAGGAGAGACCAAATCCTGTGATATGCAGAGTGTCTATGCGAGGCGCGGGGACGGCTTCAACTCCACACTGGGGGTAGAAAAAGCTCGAAACTCCCACCCCAATCCCTGTGTTTCACCGAGGAGCGACCTGAGGAGAAAGCAGGAGAGGGCTCAGTGTGAGGGCGGATATATGCTCCTCCGAGTTCTACAAAAACACAACACTGACTGCAACTCAACGGCATGAATATTCATTTGGAACAAGGCAACGCAAAATCGTAATTGAAAGGGCGAAATTACGCACAACGTATCCAAATAAAACGCGCTGGGAATGAAGCCTTATCAGTGATAGAAAACAAACAATTGTTAATAATCTGCGGGGAGAATTAACTATTTATTATATTAATACCGCGTTCAGTGCGTGGCGCTCATTTGTTTCGTGTTTTGGGGTTTACAAAACTGATGTGCGGACTTAATATCTCCGTAATTCCTTCTAATCTCCTCCTAATTATTGCTATGCAGTGGCGCCACCAAGGGGGGGAGGAGGCAACGGGGGCAATGGCCACCCCTATAGAGCAGTCTCATTGTGATTATCATCATGTTTCTTGTATGGATATGAATTATTTTGTGTGTGTTTTTCTCTATACTAAGCCACCTTTAGATATCCAACAACAATACAGTTAAAAATCTACAATGGATTTCAGTTTTTGAGGTTCCAATCCTGGATTTTCAGTGCCTCCATTTTGTCACCGATTTATTTTATTTTTTTATTTTTTTTTCCCCCCCTGTTGATAACATATCATAAAATGCTGACTTTATCACATGGCACTGACTTTTGTTGTGGTTTTTGTCATCATGAGTATTTCTATAATATATTTTACTGTGGCTGCTAATTGTTGCTGTGTATAAATATCACATAGGGAGGAGAACTAATGTTGTTTTGTTTTGTTTGTCGTTTTTCAGTTTATATGACTATGAACTGAAGAGAAAACGGGACAAAGTTTGAACAGTGTACAACATTTATTTATTTATTTATTTATTTATTTATTTATTTATTTATTGTCTTTTACATTTCTTTATGATTTTGTTCACCTCGAAATACAACCTAGACACCCCCTCCACATTTCTCCACCGGATCATAGCTAACATTGAGTCGTCTTTCCTCAGCAACATCTTCTGCGCTGAAGAGTGTTGTTGCTAGCAGGACTTGGGACGTTTTTCAAATTATTATTTATGGTAAACTCCCCTTGCAGGACATTTCCGGTTTCGAAGTGTCGCCCAAGGTTATGAATCAACCCCCACAACCCCCCAAACCCCACTCCACCACCACATGTGGCCCTTTAAAAACGTTCTGAGGGCGATCAGGTCTTCTGCTATTTTGGGGGAAATTAAACACCCCTATCGGTCCACAATGAACTTTTCCAAGATGTAAAAAAAAAGGAGAGAGAGAGAAAGAGAGAGAGAGAAAAGCTTTTGTGGGGGGGAAACTAATTTTGCATGTTCCTTCCGCCCAATCCCCACTCATGATAGGAGCTTACCTCAGAGTAGTCAATTATCAAAGCTCCCCCAAGATCATCAATCATGTGAGAAGATTGAAGTTTAGAGGAGGAGCAACGCTCCGGCCATCGATTCCAATGAAACCCCCCTTCTTCTTTTTTTTTCCCTTTCTTTCTTTCTTTTTTTTTTTTTTTACTTTTAGCCAGAAAACAGAAGCAGGCCATCTATCCCTTTTAACATTTAGCTCCATCAGTGCTAACATGCCTTCGTGGCCGTATTGATAGGTCCAACACATAAAGGCTCCATTTGGAGCTCGGTGACATTTTTTGATGGTGAAAATTAATTATTCACAGGTTAGGATTAAGCGCTCAGGGAGATGGGCTGTGGCTACTGTTGGAGGGTCAACAACTCTCCCAGCAAACAAAACAAAAAAAATACCCAGCCAGTGCTGCATACGGGGGGCCGATTACACAGACAGCGGAGTTGAGCAACAAAGGAAAATGATTTAATAAATGAAACCCGTGACAACAGTTATGTTTGTTTGCATAAAGTGAGGAGGGGTGGGGGAGGAAGGTGGGGTGTGCAGGACTGCAGGCTTTGACAAACGGCTGTATGTGTGGACATTTCGACGCGCAATACCCCGGGAAGGAGCTGCAGAGTTGCGCGCAGAGAGAGCCAGGGCGCTCACCGTCTCCAGGTCTCTGTGTGCGCTCTGTAAACACAGCCGGTCCGGCGCGCCGTGCAGCTTGAAGACTCTGATTCTCATAACCTAAATACTGCGGGTCTCATTGATTTCTGTGCTAACGGTTGCATTTCTTTCTTCTTTTTTTTATTATTTAGATGTTTTTTTTTTCAACCACTATCCCTTTGGATGACCCATGGTAAGTAGCAAACAATTCACACTCACACACTTTTTTTTTATTATTACGACCGCGTGTTCTCTTCTCGTTCTAGGCACAGTAAAATTGAAAAGCTTTTTCTTTCTTTCTTTCTTTCTTTCTTTCTTTCTTTCTTTCTTTCTTTCTTTCTTTCTTTCTTTCTTTCTTTTTCTCCTACTTCTTTTCAGGACTGAAGTGTTTTGAAATGCAATCCAGAATTAGTGACCTCTTTGGTGGATTCCTGAAAGAGAAATCTCGGCTGATGTTTTTTTAAGTTTGCAGGCTTTTAGATCTCACGTGCGATTTAATGTGGAAAAGTGTGATTTGCCCCGAAGACACACAGAAGGAGCGTGTGTTATTATAAAACTGCTCCAAGGGGACACTGTTAAACATCAAACTTTTTGATGACTTTATTACGTCTAAAAAAAAAAAAAGAACTACGTCTTAAAATTGTTTTAGAATTAAACGCAATTGGATTTTAAATAGATTAAATATGTTTAACCCCGTCTTTTTCTATGTTTATAAAACAGAGCACACATTGCTGTTTAATCTCTTAATTTTATGCGAATCATCTAAGGATACAATACGTAATTACATTCAAGTAAACTCTCAATTTGCAAGCGGAACAATCCTACATCTCTCTCATTTTTAAACTAATAATAATAATAATAATAATAATAATAATAATAATAATAATAATAATAATAATAATAATAATTTTTGAGAAAATTAAAAAAAAAAACTTAAAAGAAAAATTCATAACAACTCTTGCGCGCAAGAAACAAATCAGAAGATGGCATTACCAGGCGGTAAAATTTCATCTGGTGGTGTCAAATTGAGGTCAGTTTAGGGTTAAAGCGCTCGGTGTCCATGTGGGGACATGGCCAGCTGCGTTTGGATTCATTAAAGAGGAGGAGGTGGGGTGGGGAAGGATCCATTTCAAGGAAAACACTGCTGGGACAGTCACCGGGGCTAAAGATCCCCCTGCATGTCACATCCTAAAGGTACAGCAGGACCAACACTCCACAGCGCTGAACTTCTACTCATTTCTGATTAGTCTTCTGCAGGATTCCCCCTCCCGTATACACACACACACACACACACACACACACACACACACACACGCACACACACACACGCACACAAGCATATTGCTAAATATGGAGGAAAAAACGCATTGTTGATTTTAATTCCCCTCCGAAAAAGATCACTGATATCAAACGAGCTCCAAATCCTCTTAGTGACCTTAAACACTCCTGGAGAAACAATCGGCGCTCAGCTTGGAGGAACAAATAAATTCGCCCTAATCTTGTTTGTAACTTTGTTCTTCCTTTGGCCCTCTGCGGTGTTTGAGATTATGCAAATGAGCGAGGCTAATGTAAAGGGAGGCTGAGATAAGGCGGGATCGCAGGAGAGACGCGGACAGTAAAGACCTCAAACGGTTTGATCCATTTTATTGGTCCTTGGGATTTAAAAGAAAAAAATAAAAATAAAAAATAAAAAATGAATAAATAAATTCAGAGGTTGATGCATAAATTAGCTCAAATGCGTATTTTCGCGCCAAGTAAAACTAAAATTAACGTAACGATTTAGCCAGACCAGTAATTAAAACATATATAAGAGCTTTCTTAATTACAAAAATTCCTATATTTGTTTATAACCAAATAATAGATTTTATTTAATTTTCTTCTTTCTTATGAAGCTTTACCTCAGTCCTCTGCATGTGAACTCCTTCTGACCCCCGGACTGAAATGTGACTATAAGCTCTCTCTCTCAAAAAAAAAAAAGGCACCGAGCAGCTCAAATACTTGTAAAAGTTTCGCGACTAACTGTAAATTCTTCAGCTCCAAAGCCTCATTTTCCCCTCCACCGATTCTCAGACTCTGGTGTCAGAGGGTCTGCAAAAGGAGGAGGAGGAGGAGGAGGAGAAAGAGAGGGGAGGCCAACACGAAATGTAACTGTGGCTTTTCTTTCCCTCCCTCCCCCCACCTCTCTCTGTCTCTCTCTCTCTCTCTCTCCGAGGAGAGAACAGCGAAATGTGCGGCGTTCTAGCGACACCTGGCGGCCGCAGCTAATGCAAAAGAGACGGCCGGAGGATTCCGTGGTGGGAAAAATACAAGGAGGCCCAGAAAAAAAAACGAAAAGAAAAAAAAAGAAAAACTCTAATTTTACACGACTGGTTGTTTTGTTCAAAGATACGTGCTTAATTGTTTAAATAACATAACCAGGCACCAACTCATTTATCGCGAAAAAATAACAATGGCTAATTAAAATTAAACTATAAGACAGGAATTCAGATCTACAAAACTTCCTCAAAAATGCGATAGAGATTTTTGTTAGTTTCTCATTTTATTATGTTTTTTTTCTTTCTGCAAGGGTTTATCATTTTCCCGTCTTTTACTAGTTGTTAAACATATACATTTAAATATATGTACTGTAGTTCTAATGATTTATGTTCATTTCAGGCTTTATGTTAGGCTCTACTTATGGTCGAGTCCTAAGTAGAAACCATTTTAAAACTGTAACTGAACACACCAAAAAAAAAATAAATCAGCCGTTCACATCAGATGAACTGACTTTATTATTTGAAGGAGTTTTATTATTATTATTATTATTATTATTATTATTATTATTATTACATACTATTTATTATTATTATTATTATTATTATTATTATTATTATTATTATTAATAATAATAATAATAATAATAATAATAATAATAATAATAATAATAATAATAATAATAATAATAGTGCAATCCAGTGTTACATATGAGATATGAATTTTTGGAA